ATACTCGTCTACCCTCGTCAACTTCCTCAACTCTTACTCTGAGCCTACCAAGCTCCTATAGTCTACAAGCCCCCAACAGCTTATACTATATCAACCATCTACCACTACAAGTGAGTGACTAGGGGTTAGGGTTTGAGGTTGAGTCAAGTATCAAGACGATACCTTGACATTGACAGATTAACCAAGAGAGCACACTTCTTACCAATAACAAAGGAATTCACAGCAAAGGACCTAGCAGAATTAATATACCAGAAGATATGAACATTACATGGCCTTTCACTGAAAATCATATTGGACAGAGGAACACAGTTTTCAGCAAAGTTGTTCTAAGAGTGGTGCAAACTAATAGGGACACAATCAGCAATGTCAACAGCATACCATCCACAGACAGATGGTCAAACAGAAAGAGTCAACCAGAATTGAGAGACGTTCTTAAGGATAATATTGTAGTGCACGAATACTTGACTGGGGACAGTTCTTGCCAGCAGCCAAGTTTGCATACAATAATCAGGCACATGAAAGCATGAAGAACTCTCTATTCTATGTAGAATTAGGATACAATCCTAATATGCTTCCTATGGAACCCATTATAGCTCATCACCCAGCTTTAAGTAACATAATGAAAGATAGGCAAGAAGCACAAGAACAAGCCAGAGCAGCATTAGTATTGGCAGCAGAGTAAATGAAGTGGCACTATGACAAAACAATGGAGAAAGTGATGATCAAAGTTGGAGATCAAGTCCTATTGGATGCATCAGATTTGAAACCACAGTTGTACAACAGAAAGCTCTTGCCTAGATGCTACAGACCATGTGGGGTAGTGGAACAATTGGGACTGGTTACATAAGATCAAACTTCTAAAATGTTACAGGTTACATCCGGTGTTCCACACGTCACAACTTCACCTCTTTCAAGAGGATAAAATTCCAGGCAGGCAACAACAGCTGTTGCAGCGTCAGAGGGGGGCTCTTTTTCTTTTCCTAACTATTCATTGTTGACCCTGTACTATACAACTGATCCCATCACTTGATGTGTTTCACCTACATCAGTATCCCATATCCATTGCATTTCACTTACATCATGTTTCACCTCTATCACGTTTCACCCTCACCACTAATACAACCCAGTGAAACTGTTTCATGTACATCACTGATCCAACTCAGTGTTTTCATACTTATTAAACTCTATTCCTGTTATTTAAGTAGCACACCAGTTGCACTCCTGTACTTTAGTTTTGTCCTCTTGTTCCCTATGTATACTTCATAGGAACAGTTCCCCAGTAATAGACTCAATTGTCTATTCAAGTCTTAGTCTCAGTCTGAAGCTTTGCTTCAACCAGTATTTGCTCTCAAACCACTACCAGTCATAGTAGCTCAGTTTACAAGTCTAGTCACAGTGTAGGACATTAGCATATATAAGTTCAGTAACAGTTAACAGTTGAACTCCTGATCCTCAGTCGTCCAGGTCTCTTAACAACAGCCCCCACCACCAGTAGAAGTGGAAGGACACGAGACCAAGTACGAAGTGAAAAAGATTGTAGACGCAGGATTAGATGACAAGAATAGAGTCATGTACAGGGTCAGATGGTTAGGCTACAACAAAGAAGCTGATACCTAGGAGTACCTGAAAGTATTAACCAAGGTCAAGAAATTGATTAATAATTTCCACAAACGACATCTGCAAAAACTAAGACTGATATTAAATATAGATGATCGAACAGACGAAATACTGTTTGACCAGTCAGTAAACATCTATTACAAAGATAGTCAAAGGCGTAGACCAGAAGTAATATTTGATGTGGTAGAAGATTAATCGCAAGAAAGGATGTATACTTTCTGCCAAGAAAGGGATCAGAAGAATCCACAGGATTCAATCTCAAAGCATATGAATCAGTGGAAATCACATCAAAGACCAGAAAATTGGTTAGAACAGGACTCAAATGTAGCATTCCACAAGGATGTTACAGTCAAATAGCGTCAAGAAGTGGTTCAGCAGTTAAATGAATAGATGTAGGAGCTGGGGTCATAGACCATGATTACACAGGGGAAATTGAGGTGTTGATAATCAACAACAGTGAAACCTTGTTTTCAGTAACCAAAGGTGATCGAATCGCTCAATTAATCATCGAGAAAATACTATACTGTGAGGCCACATGTAGAACAATCGAGAAAACCACAGAAAGGGGAACAGGTGGATTTGGATCCACAGGAAAATAGTTCACCAGGAGTCTCACCTTTAAAGAGGGGGTAATGTCACAGTTTTTTGAATATATTCCAGAATAAGCGTGCGCCTATCTTATCTTATCAGATACAGATTAAATATAGATTAGATGCACGCCGGAGTATCTATGGAATAGTATAGAACCAGCTAGAAGGTTCTCGGACAAGGTTGTCAATCAGGTGACAGCTCACTAAGCAGTTCTACTCAGCA